TCGGTGCTGAAAGCTGTCTTTTTTGGTCCTTGAGAACTCCTTAACAGGCTCCAGGCCCCTCCGGTCCAGATTCTCGACAGGAGGCTGGAGTCTTGCATCCACAGTGGTGAGGCTCCATTATTCTCATTTGCAACAGCAGTCCTTGGCTTGTGGGCGTGACTGCAAGACTGACAGGTGGCTTACCTCTGCAAGGATTCCCTCCTTTCCCCTTTGCCCTCTAGATAACTGAACAGAGCAGGTGCCTTGTCCCTTGGTCTTTACTCTCTGACTCCAGCCCCACCCTCCAAAGAGTGAAATTCATTGTGATAAATTTTATTCTTTGTATCGTTTGCTGATTGATTGCAGTTCTATGTGAGGGTACTTTGTAGAGCAGGCTGGCCTCAAACTCAGAGATTTGCCCGTCTCTGTCTCCCAAGTACTGGGAATAAAGGTGGATTTTAGTGAATGCATTTATTCTTTTGACCTTTGAATCTTTAACAGGAGGCAGACTTCACTTATTGGCAGTAGAAAGGTGAAGGTACCAGTCTCTGGGGAGCTCTGTACAGCCACTGCAAATAAACTCAAGGGCTGGCTGGCCTGGTGGCTCACTGTATAAGTGGTAAGGGTTAGGGTGTGTTTATACTCCTGGCTCCTTCACAGCAGGTGGCTCTCGATTGTAAAGCACAGGCACTCTTATAGGGGCCTGCTGTTAAGTCAGAAGTGGAAGTGGTTTTCTATAGGGTCCAGAGGACCCGCACCCCCCAGTGCTGGTGCTGCTGTTGCTGGCAGGATGGCTTCATGACACTGGGTCATCTCTGCCCTTCAGCCAGCAAGGTGTTGGGATTCCAGAGCAAAGCAGTGGGAACACAGGAAAGCCGGTAGCAGACAATGCTGGTGACCCGTGAGGGGGCAATCGGAAGGAAGATGAAAACAGGATGTCTCAGGTCTCAGGCGTCCTCCATGAGCCAGCAGGAATCCAGAAGGCCTGACTCCTGATTACGTGGACCGTGTATATGCAAGGGATGCTGGGAGAACACTGATAATGGACAATTGCAGACGCCGAGCCAAGAAAGCTGGAGAAAAGACAAAAAGTTGTTTAACAGTGCAAGAACACAACCCAGTTATTTATGCAAGCTGCTTATAATTGAGCCTCATCACTATAATTTTAGTAAGGTGCTTACTTTAAAATGCATCTGATTTATTTGTGATTTTTCTTTTCTCCTTTTGGTTTGTTTTTGTTTGTTTGTTTGTTTGATGCAGGGCTTCTCTGTGTAGCTCTGGCTGTCCTGGGACTCATTTTGTAGAACAGGCTGGCCTCAAACACAGAGATCTGCCTGTCTCTATCTCCCAAGTACTGGGAATAAAGGTGTGCGGCACCACTGACTGGCTATTGGTGTGATTTTTATTTGATGAGTTTTTTGTTTGTTTGTTTGTGATCAAGTCTTGGTATGTTTAGGCCCGATGTCTACGGTTACTCTTATATTTGACTTGTCTTTCTAAGATCATAGGCCTCATTCTCTTGTACATCTTTAAATTTGACCTTTTAAAGATCAACCACTTTGCGATTTGTCTCACCAAAGGGTGGGTTTTTTTTTTGTTTGTTTTGTTTTGTTTTTTTTTTTTTTAAATAAATTCATCATCAGAGCAGGCCGGCATTAGAAGGTGGATTTTTCTCCCTAGCTCACTCTGGGGAATATAGGCAATTACATCCACAAATGCTGCTATGTAACATGTATGCATACTGCCTGCAGCCTCTGATGGCCTTCTTCATCAGATGAGGTAGGACAGGAGGGGAGGCCATAGAAGACACCTGAGCATACAGAGAGGAAAGGCAGGGTTGTCTGGGGAGGAACCAAGTGTTTCCTGTGTGCGGTTGTGGCTGTGAGAGTCTCTGAAGATGCAGAAACATTTCCTTTATGAGATGAGGAAGTTAGAAGGGGGAATTGACTGGAGGACATTGTAGACTGATTTGTGCCTACTCTGGACTTCAGCAGGTGTCAGGTTAGTTAACTGTTAAAAGATGACCTGTGGTTCCGTCTTCCCGGCTTTCATCAGAGATGGGGGATGCTGGGGGAGGGAAGTTTGTGAGCAGCTGCTGTACAGTTCCGAGTCTTCCTGGCTGTCACTGGAGATGGGGGTGGTGTTGAGGGACATTAGAGAGGGGCTGATATACAGTTCCAGTGAGAAATGAGAAGCTTCCAGCTCTTAGTTAAGGACTTGACTAGATTAGGAGAGATTCAGGCTCATTTCACAGGGAGAACCGTGTTACATTGGATACTCAGTGCTTTTTAGACCAAGAGCATCTTAGAAATCCCTGGCTTTTCAGCTTTGTATAACTAGGGGCAGGCACTCAGAATAAATATGTTGGCTTATATATGCAAATTTACTTCCTTAAGAGCTGCTGGGGGTGGGCAGGATTAGGATAGCTTAGTAGTTATATTACTGCTTACAACTGAGGCTTTGATGCCTGTGGCCTCCAAGGGCATCTGCTCTAACCTCTCTCTCTCTCTCTCTCTCTCTCTCTCTCTCTCTCTCTCTCTCTCTCTCACACACACACACACACACACACACACAGCATGTCAGGAGGCCAGTTGTGGTGGTGCATGCCTGTAAGCCTGGCCAGAAAGCAGAAGCAGGAGAATGAGAGTTCAAGGCTAGAGCTGCACCTGCTGCTGTGGCGTCTGTAATCCCAGCTCCTCAGGAGACCAAGACAGAACGATTGCAACTAAAGCACCAGCTTGGTCAGCTTGGCGAGGCTTTCTTTCACAGTTAAGACCAGCTGGGTGGATGAGATATAGCTCAGTGATAGAACACATGCCTAACGTGTGTCCTAGGTTCAGTCACCAGCACTACCAAACCCAAGCATCCAGCCCACGGGAGTTCAAGGCTAGCCTAGGATACTACTACTATTGTCTTCATCTCTCTCTAACAACAAACAAGTCAGTAACGGGATTTAGCTCAGTAGTGGTATCAGCATGAGCAGGGAGGTGCTGTAGAGACCTCTTCTCAGGTAAAGCCTGGTCCTTGATTACACTGCAAAAGAAGCATTTCAGGACCAGCCAGGGTGAAGCAAAGGTATTTAGACAGTGAGGCATACAAGGAAAGGAGACCACACACCAAAGACATGGGTGTGGGCTTCTCAAGAGCAAGAGTCCCCCATAAGTGTCTTTAGGTGGCTGCATACATGGTTATGTGGCTTTGTAAGTTACAATGTTCAAAGAATGTAATTTACAATAAAGTTTCAACAGAGGTACAAGTTTAAAGTTTAAAAATATGTGAGAGGGTTGCTTATTTATCTTAAGTAAACCCCCCCCCTTTTTTTTCTGTTGTAAGTGAAGTTGTACGGTGGTCTCCTGAGGTGCACTGTTTATATTTGGGGTCTGGAGTAGTGCTGACAGGCTGCATGCAGCTCAAGCCCACACTCATTCTGGCCCCAAGAAGGCATCATTTGCTGTTTTCACCACCCTTTGGGATGCTAAGCACTGTCTTTGTAGCAAGTTTAATTTTACCAGTTGTACTGTAGATTCTTGACCTTCAGCCAGTGAGAAATGCAAAGTAGCTACTTGGATCTTTAACTTATCTCTTTCTCTCCTGCCTCAGCAGCTTATATGGGGCCCTGTGTTCACTTTCTGGAGGGGTGGAGGGTGGGGAAGGATGTCAGGAAATAATAGTAATAGCAGCCAATATTTATGGAGTATATCTAGTATCTGTCCTGTCCCCTGTCCTTCCTACAGGTGACATTTCTCTCCCAGGGCCTGTGCAGAATTGATTTCAGGACTCTTCCTGCCCAGAGTACCTAAGTCCATGGACACCTCAGTCCCTTACATAAAATGTCATATTTACATGTACCCTACGCATGGCCTCATGCATGCTTTCAATCACTTCTAGATTAGTGATCATAGCTAATAACTGTAGTGATCACGTGTGCTGCTTGTTTAGGGAACAGTGACAAGAAAAATGTCTACACGACAGACTTTTCCCTCCCAAATGTTTTTTGTTTCGTTTTGGCTTTCTGAGACAAGATTTCTCTGTATTGCTTTGGAGCCTGGCTCGATCTGTAGACCACCACCAATGTCCAGCTCCTCCCCCCTCAAATGTTTTGATCTGAGGGCCATTGTATCTGTGACTGTGGAGCCTGCCGATACTTCAGGCTTTTGAATCCAATGGCTATGGCTACCTTGGAGGGCAGCATCACTAACTCTCCTACAGACAAGGAAGCTGAAGCAGAGAAAGAACAGTGTCCTGTAGTAGGCTCTAGGATTTAGATCCCCACAGGTCACTCATTTGACTCTTTATAGTTTTAAGGGCTCGGGAGATGGATGATCTGGAGGGTTTGTGCCTCCCCAGCGTGAGGACCTGAGTTCACATCACCAGAACTCACGCAAAAAGCCAGATGTGTTGGTGCATGCATATAATCCCTGTGATGGAGAGATGAGAGACAAAGACAGTGGATTCTGTAAGCTTGTAGCTCACCTAGCCTATTTGGCAAAGTTTCAGGCCAGAAAGGCCCTGTCTCAAACACAAGGCTGAGACCAGAGGAAGTCATCCTCTGAACTCTACATACACACCATTCACACGTAGAAACATTCATGCACACACACACACACACACACACACACACACACACACACACACACCACGCACACTTGAGTAGCTGTTAAATTATAAGAGTGTGGTATGTTAGAGCGAAGTTTAACATTTTCCAAATATATTAAATATATATATATACACATATTACACATATATGCGTACATATGTATGCATATATGTGTATATATATATATATATATATATATATATATATATATATATCCTTAAAAGTGTTTTCACTGAAAAGCAAAGGGCTAAAGAACTTCACTTTCTTCAGCCAGTATGTCAAATGTAGTGAGGGTGGCCATACAGGCTTCCATCTGAAAGTGAAGGGATGTGTTACTCAGTAAGTACATGGTGACCACAGGAATGACCCATACTGCCCATCACTCTGTGACTGATGCTGGGCCTTCATGTGTTTTGACTTGCAGGGGGATTCCTCAATGTCAATGTGAGTGAGATCAGTTTTGATGAAGTTCATCAGCTCTTCTCCAAGGACACAGAGATTGGGCCAGGAGGCCACTGGAGGCCCAAAGACTGTAAGCCCAGATGGAAGGTGAGGCAGTTTTCCTCAAAGGCTGCGTGACAGTGACTAAGAATTTGGGGACAAGAATGTGCTTGGTTCAAAACAGAGAGCAAACTGTTTCTTTGGTTTTGATAAAATGAAAGCAAGCGTGTATTTAGCGCACCACCCTTTACAGTTTGCTCATGGTCAGTGCTGTCACTTTGTGCACCTGTGTATGCAGAGTGTGTTCAGCTCACGTGTTCAGGGTTTCAGCATCTCCGGTGAAGAAGGGAGACTGGTTTAACTTGCAGAATGGACCTCTTTTCGGTGCTACCTTGCTCAGAGGAGAGGCCGCTGCCAACAACTGCTGATGCCTGCCAGCATTTCCCACCAGTTTCTGGAACTAAAAACTCATAGGAAGGATGCTAATGTCCTTATTTTCAGTTGGGGTCAACTTGGGCCTGCCAAGCTGTCTCAGTCAGTCACCAGAGGCCTCTCAGAGGTCAGTCTCAAACTTGAAAAGGGAGCATTGAGCTTTTCGCTTGATTTTCAGAAGGCAGAGCACAGGCATTTGACAGGTCAGAATTCTATTTAATATTTTGTTTAAAAAAAAACTGTAAGGGAGTATGCCAGCCTCTTGTGCACTAAAACAAAACAAGCAGAAACAAAACAATAACAAAGAGAACTGGTTGGAAGTTGTACTCAATGCTGTGAAACGGACCCTGAATGAAAATTTGTATAGTGGTGCTATGTTAGAGTCCAGCATGGTACTATGCACCTGAAAGGAAAACAGAAATCATCAAACAGGTGGAATGCCCTCAAGGATTTTCATATGCCTTTAACCTGAAAATAGTCCTTTAAAAAATACCAGTGTTCTAACATAGTTGCATGTTAGAAAAAAATAAACAAAAGAAGGGAGGAGAACGCTGTTCGTTGTCTGATAAAGATCATGTGACATCATTGACCTGGCCTTGAACTCCTTCTGTTCAGGGATGCATGCATTTCTCTCTTCATCCCTCATGGTCAGCAGAAAACTTTGCATGAGTAAATGACACAATTTTGTCGAGTTGGCCTTTTGAGATTAATAAATGCGTTTGTGGCCTTATTAAAAGTGAATAAATAAAAGTTTGTTTTTCTCATGACCTCAAGCAAGTTACAAAGCTGCTTCAGTGGGTTTTAGTATGAGATTTGGAAAATACTCTTTTATAATTGCATGAATTAATTTTCATATTTCTTGCTAGATCCTCTCTGAACAGTTGTGCCAATATGGAACAGTCTACTTTAGAAAATGCCCTTGGAAAGTGGGTTATTTTTATTACTTGAGTGATGAGCGCATATGCTGAACGCTCTGTGAGGAAAAACATTATCATGAAGACTGAGGGATGCCATGGAGACTGATGCTAGCATGTAAACAAGACACATGACGTGTGTCGTACTGCTGGGATGTTAGGGATCAGAAAATGTGTTCGTTCTACTTACCGTGGTTTGCACTGGAGGAGTCTTAAATTTTCTAGCATATTTTACTTTCTGGAACAGCGGGAAACACAGGGGTCATTCTTAATTAGATCTGTAAGTGGGCTACATACTCACATGACTGAATAGGATTGGAGGAATTCCTGGGAGCAAAATAATTTAGGGATTAAAAGAGTTAGCTTCTTTTATATAGATGCTATATGATAACACTTACTTGAGCTTTGTGCCACCTTTGTAAATTTATTAGTCAAGGTTCTCTAGAGCTTAGGGAGAGAGAGAGAGAGAGAGAGAGAGAGAGAGAGAGAGAGAGAGAGAGAGAGAGAGAGAGAGAGAGAGAGAGAGAAGAGGCTGTAGACCAGATAGTTCGGCAATGGCTGTCTACCAATGGAAGGTCCAAGAATTCAGTAGTTTCTCAGTCTACAAGGCTGGTGCCTCAGATGGTCTTCAGTATACACTGGAATCCCAAAGAAGTAGGCTCTAATGCCAGTGAAGGGATGGACTAGCTGGTGGGAGTGAGGACAGGCAAGCTTCCTTCTCCCGTGTCTTTATACAGGCTGCTTGCAGAGTATTGCACCGGATTGAAGGTGGATCTTTCAAAAGGTCCAGATTAGAAGTGGATCTTCCACTTCACATGGATTAATTAAGAAAACAGTCCCTCCTAGGTGTGCTCGGCTGCTTGAGTTTTAGGTAACTCCAGATGTCGGCAAGTTGACAACTCAAAACAACCATCACAGTGAAATATACTCTTTAGTTTTAAGCAGAATTAAAACAGCAGTAGGAAGTTTGAAGCCCTTCAGAGGTGAGCTATACGCGCCATGTTTAATTTCCCTCTGCCTTCATCCCCATGTGTGATTCTCATAATGCCCCATTGTCATGCCATGGGATTCTGAGAGAAGAAAGCAAGCAGTTACTAGACACGGGTAAGAGTCCGCTCCCCACTTGAACCTTAATCTTTTTGTTCCCTTTCTTTATTTAAGTACCAAGTCCATCTGCACTGCACTCTTCCAGTATTAGTCCAGAGCTCTGTGGGCATCCCGGATACTGCAGGGTTGAGAGGAAGATTCTTCACAGGTCAGGCATCTTATGGAGGTGGGCATGTTTCCACAGGGGAATTGGAGAGGAAGAAATCAGGGCTTTTCAGCTGTTTTTCTACGACGTTGGCTTTCTGTGCAGGGTTCCAGGGAGGTCTGATACCTACAGGCTAAGGCCTGATGCTGCTGTCCTAATTAGAGGCTCAAAGTCCCTCATCTCACCCAAGGGCCCTCAGGGTTGGGTCTTAGCCACCTGCTTCAGCCTACACGAGATGTTCAGTTTCACAAGGCAAGTCTTGAAGAAAGTCATTAGACACTATCCTCTTGTAGAGAGAACAGACAAGAATTACCTACCACCTCCCTTCTTTGTCAGTCTGAAATTTGTTCCTGTAGGCACTGGAAATGAGGAAGACAAGGAAGGTAGAACTAAAACACCCCAGGAGAATGAGAGCTCAGTAACTCACATTTGCTTTCATCTAATTCAGGGGCAACATCCAGGTGGGCTCTAAACCAACCTGGTGTAAAGCTGCTCCATGCTGGGGCGTGAGTATGAGATAGGGCAGGACCTAGCTGGGCAAAGACTGCATGGCAGACATTTTCTTGATTGTTCCTTCACCGTGTACTTAAGAGGACATAAGCAAGGGGGGGAAGTACAGAAATAATTCAGTAAGCTCAGTGGTTTGGAAAGGGGACGTAACTGAATGGGGTAATTTTTCTTGAACAAGAGATGGTAAAGAAGCACTTGGAAAGATAGAGTGTAGAAGGCAATGACCGGATGTCTTCCATCTCCTCTGCTGCATCATCCAATAGGGGCGTGTACAAGTCCACACATGGAGTAAAGGCTGGTCACCCCCCAATATTAATGACCACGAGACACTGTACTCTATCGACAGTAAATTACAACTATTAACAATATTGCTTCACAGATAGGAATGCTAAGTGAATTTTAAAGACACACACACACACACACACACACACACACACAAACCTACCTTTAGGCCTGTCACTTAAAATGTAATATCTGATTGTGATCTGGACATGCATTTACTATTAGAATGTCATGTTTAGCTCCTTCTGTTTGCCAGGACACTTTCTTTTATACCATCTGCAGTTTCTTACTAAGATTAAAAACAAAAAACCTCCAAACCCAAACCAGCTCCTGATGTTTCATATGGCCCACTGAAGAACTCACTATATTAAAGGCTATAACTTGGTATTTGCTGATCCTTGTATGTTCAGCTCCTCCACCTGGGCTATCTTTAACACAGTCTCTCACCCATTTGGTGGCCTCCTACGTATCTATAATTTTTCTGAGCTCAGAGATACCTTCTTGGAGCAAATCAAATGGGAGTGGGCTCCACAGGGCATCGGTGGTTCCTATGACTACCAAATGTAACACCATCCACAGCAATGCCAGCCTCAAAGCTTGTCTCTGTCCTAGCTGTCACATCAGTAAAGGAAAGAGAAACATGGCCTTTCTGGTCTAGATGCCCTCACGTTTCCTAAGCTGGACCGTCTCCTTCTAAGTAAACCTTCTACTCAGTTTTGGCCCATTTGCACTTCTGGCAGTATATGTGCTCAATGTCACCGTTGCTTTCCTTCTCTGGAGTTGGGAACCCAGTCCAGGACCCATTCGAGCTAAGCACGTTTCACCTTTGCTAGCTCCATTGTTGATTTGTTATTGGTGGTGTCAATGCCTGAGGTTATATCCTGATTTTAGAAGTAAAATGAGTTCCAGAACTTAGCATTCTCAATTGTTTGTAGTGTTTTATTATTACTATTGTTGTTGTTATTGTTATTATTATTATTAATTTGGGTCAATGTATTTGGTCTAGGTAAAAATTTCAACGAACTGCAGGCATATGGCTCTTTCAAAATCCATAATATAGAGTGGTGTTGATATGTTTTTGTAATCTTTTCATTTGTTAAAGTGTTTGAAAATTTGGTGAGTTTTGGAATTCATCAGGTATAGAAAATTTGCTTGTTGATTTCAAGTTTTGTTAGCAAGTTAACAGCTACAATAAAGCCAATTTAACTCAGAAATTAAGGAAAGTAAATCAGAAGACACTTTAGCTTTGTCAAGGCCAGAAACTGGCCTATAAGGTTTTGCTTTTCCAGCAAAGTTTGAATCCTAGAAGTTTGAGTGAGTGAGTGAGTGTGTATGTGTGTGTGTGTGTGTGTGTGTGTGTGTGTGTGTGTGTGTGTGTGTGTGTGAAGCAGGGTGAGTGATGCTTAAGAATTGTTCAGAGCACACCTGTCTCTCCTACCTTCGCACGACCTCGAAGGGTGTGAAGCCAGGGCTGTGCCTGTGTGAATACATGGTGTAAGTCTGATGAGAGCATTCTCAGGGCTATGCCTTGAAGGCACTAGGAGTTTCTAGGGCTCAGCTGTTGTGTGCACTTGCACGGCTTGCTGCAACACCACCTTACTCATGCTGCGGGGGTTCTGTTCTGTTTTGAAGGTGGCGGTTCTTATCCCCTTCCGCAACCGCCATGAACATCTTCCCATTTTTTTCCTGCACCTGATTCCGATGCTCCAGAAACAGCGGCTGGAATTTGCCTTTTATGTCATCGAACAGGTGAGGAAAGTTTTCAAAAAGCCACTAAATATTCTAAAACTTCAACTTCAGATGGGATTTGATTAAGAATACTCAGCCAAGGTCCATCGGTGACTCATCCTTGGATTTACAATTGCATAAAATCATACTTGGGATTGACCCTGCAATTTTTTCTTGTAATAATTGCAGTTTGGTCAAATAAATAGAGCAGAGGGTATGGTTGACTTTGAAATGATGGCTTTGATATACGTTATGGCTTTATACTACCTACTGGGTTGTGAGCCTGGTTTATAAGTAACTGGATGATGCTCATTCTGCAGGGTTAACTGCTGGACTTGTAACATCATTCTACTTCTGCTTTTCTTGTATTTATGAGTGTGCTTTGTTCTTACAAACATCTACTAAAGGCAGTTTACTTGGGAACACTACTTCTTTTGTAATCCAGGATACTCGGGATACAACTGTCTGGAACTTACAGCAGTGCATGCTGGGGTGTCATCAATGCCTTTCCTATTCTGAATTATGAGTGACCTCAGACACATCCACTGTGTTCTGTTTAGAAGGTGCTTTCTGCTTTTGACCTATGAACTTAGATACATGAAGTGAAGGATAAAGGGTTCACGTTGTGTCAGCGTGGAACCCTGACAAAGCTTGATGGGGGACTGCTCTGTCTACTACTGCAGGCTAGCCTTGAAAGCTAATGTTGCCTTGACCTTACTAGATAATTAGGGGAGCCTGAGGACAGCCAGGTAGGAACCCTTAAAGAGAGAAATTGTGTGTAATGAACATTTTCTATTCTGTTTTTATAGTTTCCCATGTTCACAATTACCTTTCCTGGTAGTGGAGCCTTGACTGTTTCTGTTGTAGACACACACACACACACACACACACACAGCTCCTCAGCTGCACTTAGGCTGATGTGAGCATAGAACACTATCCTGTTCCACAGCAGAGAGACTGGCTCAGTAAGGAAATGCCCATCCAATGACTGACAGGTCAAAGAAATTACATAGACAAGCAAATCTGTGATGCCCAGGATCCCTTCCAGATGGGAGTCTAGACTTCTTTCCCAACAAGAGGTAAACGGGAAGAGAGTAGAGTTAATAAATATTGGCAAAGAAAAAACCAAAACAAACAAAAACTCCATTCCATTTGCCTTGAATGGACACTAGGCAAGCTGACATAGTCTCCATAGAATTGAAGTGGCTTCGCTTTGCTGCTGCAGTCTGTGCCTTTGTTTAAAGACTATAAGTGTAGTTATTTCATTTCTATTCATTTGTAAAGCTCTGTCTCAGGAACCTAAAATAGTGTGCTAACCCTTGAAGAGAGAGGTCTCTACTGACTTAGGCCTCTCTGTAACCTCAGCGGTAGGCAGTGTATTCTGTACTAATGTATACCGAACATTTCATCCCTGTTGCTGTAATAAAATACCCCGATAAAAGGCAACTCAGGGGGAAGGACTTATTTTAGCTGACAACTCCATGTTATAGTCCATCATGGCAGGGACTTAAAATAGCCATCACTCCCACAGCCAGGAGCTAAGAATAGGTGATTATGTGCTCACCTGCTTGCTGGCTTTAGCTCAGCCTCCTTTCTCCATGCCCACAGTTCCAGACAGGCAGGAAACAGTGCCACCTGCAGTGGGCTGGCTCTGCCCTCACCATTATGTTGGGTTGGGCCAACCCAACATAGGCAGTCTCTCATTGAGGCTCTGTTCTGGGGTGATTCTAGGTTGTGTCAAGTTGACAATTAAAGCTTGCCATGATGCTGGCCTTTCCAATCACATTGCATTCTTTCCCACACTTGTCATGGTTAATGAGTCTGTAGAGTCTAGTTGCATCTTTCATGTTTCTTACCCGTTTAGGGTGGTCATCATTTTATGCCTTTGCTGTTCATATAGATTAGGAAGTCTCATCTTTTTCTGTTATTTTAATTGAGGTGTCCTTTTGTTGGTTTGCAGAATTCTTTGTGTCCTAGTTGTAGGTCTTTTGTGCATCAGGTTTGGCAAGTATTTATCTTCAGACTGTGGTCTGCCCTTTAATTTCTTGATAGTGTTTGTTGTTTCCCCTTCAGTGCTGGGATTAAACTCAGAGCCCTGCACCTGCTATGTAAGTACTCTACCATTGAGATACATACTCAGCCATGAACAGGGTTTTATTCAAAAGTAAAGGTGTCAGTTTTAATAAAGTCCAATTATTTGATTTTTTTTTCATAGTTTCTGCTTCTTATTTTGCAGTTGAGAACGGTTCTTGGGTACTTTTAGAATGTTTTCTTCCAGAATATTCCTGGTGGTTTTAGCTCTCCTATTTGGGTTAATCCCTCTGAGTTAATCTTTGTATGTGGAGTGAGGTAAGGATGAAGGGTTGGGTGTTTCTCGTTTGGCCTATGAGTTTTCAGTCATTTCATCATCATTTATGAAACAGCTAATCTTTTCCTCGTTAGCCTCTTTGTTGGAAGTGAGTTCATCCTTGTGGGTTAATAACAGACCTTCGTCTCTCACTTCATCTTCAGAGAGGAGGCAAAGCCATGCACACCTCTCGGTCTTCTGGCTTCCTGGGGTGCCTTCGGTTGTCCTGTACTATCAAATGTGTGTTCCTGGTTTATATCGGTCAAGGCTGAGGTTCAGACCTAACAGGCTTGAAAATTAAAATGCAGATCTCAGCTGCTCTGGTAGATGTCTTTATCATATACACAAAGTCATTCAACAGCACAGGACTCCAGAGAGCATTCACCTCCTGCACACTAAGGGTGGCTGAGGTTTCAAAAAGGAAAGCTAGCAGCTTCTGTCAGCAATGTAGATCCACAGCAACAACTATCGGGAAAGCAGCTTAACATTCTGACTAGTTATCATTTTGTAAAAGGTCAACTTTTATAGTATAAGTTGCCATCTTGAAAAGTACACATGTTTTGGTCAGGTGTCACCTCACACACCTTTAATTTCAGCGCTTGAGAGGCAGAGGCAGTTGGATCTTTGTGAAAAGGCCAGCCCAGTCTACACAGGGAGCACCAACCAGGCCAGGCAGAGCTACACAGTGAGATCTTGTCTCAATGAGGAGAATACAAAAGCTAGAGACGTGCCAACATATGCACCAGGAATAAAACATAAAGAAGGGTCACATTCGCCATGTAATAAAAGCCAAGAAGTGTTTTGTTTTTGTTTTGTTTTTTAAATTCAGAATAAGCCATAAAAGAAAAACTTTTAATTGGATATTCTTCAATCCTTAGTAAAAAAAAAAAATAGTCTTCAGTAAAAAATCTGAATAATAGCCACAAAAATTAGCAGCCTTTAGTAATACAAATTAGGCCACACTTTGTCCATTATTAATTTTGTTGTATTCTACTGAGAATGGGGGAGAAATTGCAAAAGGACTTCTTATAGAAACCTGCAAGCACATTTAAGGTAACAGAACAGAAAGACCAGAACTCACTTTGCACAAAGGGATAATGAGGAAGAGATTAGATAGCTATTGTATAAATGGAGATGAAATATTGCATTCACAGTCAAGAGCAGAGACAGATGAATACACTCATATCTGCTTCTCCTTTCTTCTTCTCTGTTCTCATATAGTTCAGGACCCAGAGCTAGGGAATGATACGCCTGCAGTGGGCTTGGTCTTACCATGCTAATCAGTGCATGCCCACAGGTCAGCCTGATCTGTAGACAATCCCTCATTGAGACTCTCCATCACACTAACCAAAGCCCCTTACTGTTCTGGATGGGAGAGATAGTAAATTAAGTTATGTGATATGCAGACAACTTAAGAAACCTCAATGGGTTCTCTCGCAGGTGAGATAGGAAGGAAAGAAGGAGGCCAGTTAGAAAGTTTCTGCAGTCATCGAAAAGGATATGATGACATCTTGGGCTCTGGTGGCACAGGACATTGCAAACAGTGGTTGGGTTGGGTTTTATTAGCGTAGAATTATTTACTGATACAGTGATATGTGGCATGAACACTATGGAAATCTCCTTAGCTTTGTAGTATTTTATCCACACATGAGTAGGCAGCCACAGAGCTCCAGGTTTTAAAGAAAATGTTCACAAAGGAGACACAGTCAAGCAAAGTAACGAGAGAACAAAGAAACCCCAAAGACAGAATCAACAAAGGCTCAGAATTTGGACCCACGGAGCTAAGGGAAAAGGAAAGGCCATTTCTGAAATGGGAATGTTTGCCATAAAGGAAGAGCAATCGGAGTAGAGTGTCAGTGGGATGGAAATGTGGTAGGGAAAGCTTTTGAAAGAATAGTTTGGAAGACAAAATAACCCCTATAGCAGGACCAAAATATAAGAGAGGGGAGTCTAAGAGAACCACTTTTATGTGAGGATAACCACCCTCCAAGAGGCCCGTGGGATACAAGGTGAGTTGCCTGGGGAAACCACTACCACAGAAGAGTCAGTCCTGATTTGAGAGTCGGCCACTGACACATAACTGCTTCAGCCTGACCATCTTGGAAGGCCAGCTGCTACGTCTTGAGGTTGTCCTGGATGGCCTATGGAGAAGGAATGACTTCCTGGCATCATCTTGCCTATCACATGAATGAGCCACTTTGAGAGTCGATCTTTCACCTGCCCTGACCAGGCCTCCAGCCATAGCCTCAGATGAGAGGAAACAGAGGCGAGGCTCGCTGCTCTGCTGAGAGTTCCATTTCTATAGATGCCGTGTTCAGCGTCGTAAGTGAGCACTGCCTTTTTATTTCTGTTCATTTTTCGTAGGGAACAGTGCTAGGGATCCAGCACTGTCAGCGAGTTACAGCCCCCCACATATGACTTTTCTTAAGTCACCAAGTTTTGCTGTGATTTTTAATATATTAATGTATAACTAACATACCACTCATCAGAATTCTGGAAGAACCACAGCAGCAAAAATATTTTTAGGAAGGAAATGGCTAAAGAAAAAAGATAGACAAATTTCCAAAGCTGGGCATGGTGGTGCACAGCTCTAATCCCAGCACTTGGGAGGCAGTGGCAGAGAGATCTTGGTGACTTCCAGGCCAGCCTGGTCTACATAGAGAGTTCCAGACTAGCCTGGGCTACATGGAGAAGCCCACTTCAGAGAAGAGACAGAGACAGTCAGAAAGATAGACACACACACAGATTTCCTGAAGCAAAAAGCACGTCTTTAGGTGAGAGCCCCCCCACAATGCACATGTGAATAAACATACATCCATTGTAAAGCATAGTATTTTCCAATTTTAGAATACAAATGCAAAAGAAAAGGTATTAAAAAGACTACAGGGAAAATGACAGGTAGGAATCAGGAATGCATGAACAATCCTGCCATTGCAGGTGTCTACAAGAAGACTTACAACTTACAGATTCTAGAAAAAGAAAGGTACTTTGCCCCGGAACTTTCAACCCAGAATATCAATTCAAGGGTGTGGCATTTTAGTCATTTGTTGATGAAATACACACGCACGCACGCACGCACGCACGCAAGCCTGAAAAACATAATTCGGCAAATTAAGTAAGCCACATGAAAGCCATGGTGGATCATGACTGGCATGAGGACAACGGGAACTGAGCTGAGGAAATAGGGAACCAGAACAGGTTTTGAAATTCCTGTAATTACATCAGTTACTAAAGGTGCGGGTCATATCAACTGACCTTTCTAGTTACACAGGAAACTAATTAATGTTCTCCACAGAGGAAAAATATCAACTCACTCAGCACTGAAGAAATATTTTTACACAGTGCTAGTAACTTACACTTCATTAATTCAACCCAAAATCAAGGCAGCCATATTGGGAGGTGGGAGGGAAGGGCAACGGTGTGGTTTAACTCCTCTGCCTCCAGAGGAAGAAGTCTAGAAAATGTGTGCTGTTAACAAAGCAAGAGATGGCATCCAAGTGTGGACATGGACGCCAAACTAAGCATGCAGAAGAGTTGAAGAAGCACACTATTGGTTGATGAAGATGGGTTAGAAATGGAAATTCTTCTGCCTAAACCTCTAAGTATCAGGTCCACATTTAATAGAAGCAGATTTTAAAACCTTGAAAAAAGATAGCATATCAAAGCCGATACTGATGAACCAATAATAACATTATAATTTACCTTCCCTGCCTTATAAAAGCTGTGTGCCTTCTATGGCCTCGGGTCCATGAGGACCCGTGCCCATGCTGATTGATGTCTCTCCCGAGGCTGCATTCTGATGCTGGCTGCCCTGTGTGGCTTCTTCACTCCTGCCAGATCCCTTTTCTTAGGTGTTGGGAAAAGATTTTGTGAAATGTGCTAAGGCATTTGTGAATGTTCTTAATCTTTAGATGCCGAACCAAGCTGTGTTGCTTGCAGCAGACTTCTGTCATTATCCTGAATAAAGGAAAGCGTTGCAATACAGGAACTTGGATTTTATGTAACACGTTCCTCTATTGTGTCCATTAAAATGTTCTTGTCTTACCATAAGCAGAGATACAGGGTAAAAAAGGAAACTGTTACCAGTGCGCCCTCATGTAGGATGGCTACAATAGGAAGGAAGGGGGGGGGGGGAGGGAGTGTATGCTGTCTAAAATGCTCTCATGTATTGTAAACATCAAGACTTCAAAGTCCTTCAGAGTGCATCTGTCCTGCCAAGAGGACGCCTGTCTTGTTAATGTAGAGAAGGTCTGCGTGGGAGTTGCCCTCAGTTTCCTGCCTTAATCTTCTCCCCATCTCCCACATTAGGGAGCAAATCCAGGATCCCAATCATACCAGGCAAGCATTCTTATCACCGAGTCATACCCTCTCCCTCCTGTATTAATAAAAATTACTTATTTTTATTGCTTTAAGTGGGTACGTGCTATTGAATACAGGTCCTGAGAAGGTGAGAGATACCAGACTCCATGAAGCTGGAGTCACAGATGGGTGCTGGGTACACACTTGGTTCCTCTGTTAGAGCAGACAGGGCTCTTGGCTGCTGAGACATCTCCCTGCGCCACTACTGACTTCATGTTTAGTATCACCAAAAGCAGCAGTAAAAAGTACAGCACATTCTTTCTTTTCATTGTTTTATGCGTAATGTGGTTTTTTTTTTTTTACTATTTTATCTTTATTTTTTGGTCATATACAGTCTGTGATCTGGCATGTTTGGAGTAAAGCAGTTATATATATATATATATATATATGTATGTATGTATGTATGTATGTATGTATGTATGTATATATATATATGATAATATGTATATATAAAACTATCTGCCAATAGAAGATAGTAACAGCCTTCTTCATCATCAAAATATGTCATAAGAAACTTTAAACAGTATGCAGTCATGTGCCCTGTGATGACATCATCAGTCAGCAGCAACATGCATGTACAATGGTGGTCCCCATAATTTGTGTAAATGACTCTAATGTCTGTGCTGTTGGTCACTCAAAGGCACCTCAGAACAAACCCTCCATTGGTAAGTGGTGCCTGACTGTATTTGGAAAGCCTGACAAGCTTCTGACTTGTTTATTTCATTACCAAGATAAAATTATTATTTGACCATGATACAATAAATTAATAAGTGATGGCAAATATCCCATGACCAAGTCTGAGTGCGTTTCTGGTTTTCTCTGCTGTGGAGACTGGCACACAACCATTCAATCGTGCGATGCTCTTTAACGTGGGTTTCAAAGAGGCCATGAAAGACAGCGCCTGGGACTGTGTGATCTTCCATGATGTGGACCATCTGCCTGAGAATGACCGGAACTATTACGGATGTGGAGAGATGCCGCGTCACTTTGCAGCAAAGCTGGACAAGTACATGTACATGTGAGTAGAGTGTGGGCTCTGGATGCTGTATAGTGTGCCTGTGGCAGCATGTTGGGCCTCCACTTGAGACTGCTCGGGAGCCTGGTGCGTGTTATCCCTGACTCCAGCATGTTCTAGGGGGCCAGGACAAGACTGGTTTGTCCAATTGTGATCACACAGAGTAGTGGGGGGGGGGGGAGAACCTGGCTCCTGTAGTGCACACATTGATTTTAAAGTGGGTTCTCACCCTTCGGGGCTTTCTTATGTTCCTCTCAAATTGCTTTCCTCTGCCTTGGACAATAGAGCCCATTTGTGGGGCTGCTCTCTTGGATCATAGACCCTAATCCTGAAGTATGCAAGCTATGTGACCTATGCTGCCCCCCCCTTCCACCCATGCCCTGCCCGGCCCCCTTAGGGATGGTTCAGGGTCCAGATCTGCCCTTCTGAAGACCATGTGTTCTGTGATTATAAGAAGCAAACACAGTGCTCTGTGTGTGTGTGTGTGTGTGTGTGTGTGTGTGTGTGTGTGTGTAGGCAGGTATATATGCATACGTGTGTCCGTGTCTGAAGTCAGAGCTTGCTGTTGTGTTTCTTTATCAATCTCTTTATATCTGATTTTGAACCTGGAGTCTGCCAAGTGCTTTGACTGGATGGCCAATAGGCCTCACGGACATTCCTCTTGCCAGAGCTGAGACTACTGGCCCATTCCTCTGTGCCCAGCTTTTTATGTAGGTGCTGGGGATTCAAACTCAGTTCCTCAAGCTTGCATGGCAAGCACTTTTCATAGTGAATCATCTCCCCAGCCCCCTTTAAATATCTTTATTATGTAAATAATTGTTAATCTGAGTATGAAATCTGCAGCAGCCAAGTTGAAGTTAATGATCCAGTATTGACAGAAGGCTTAGGGAAAACACAAGCAGATGACTCAGATGCGGACCTCTCAATTAGGCCTTACCATGGATAATGCTCCCTCGTCGTAACCAAATACCCACTGTTTTAAAGTGCAATCTGATTGGCAAATATCCATTGCATGCACACAGTGACATGAAGACGGTCCTGTACATTGGGGACTCTGTTCCCCTTCCTTCCCCCTCCCCCTCCTGATTTTCTCTTTCCTTCCCCCTGAGAGTCATGCTCCTACATAGATATACTTTTACATACATCATCTCCGTAAGGGCTAGGGTTCTACAGATGAGAGAAATTGTGTAACATTTGTCTTGCTGAGTTTGACTTGCTTTGCTTAATATAATGGTGTTTGGTGCATCTCTTTTCCTCTAAACCAGTGGGCATTGCATATCATATCTTTCATATCAGATATTTACGTTATGATTCGTAACAGTAGCAAAATCACAGTTATGAAGTAGCAGCGAAAATAATTGTATGGTTGGGGGTCACCACAATATGAGGAACTGTATTAAAGGGTCTCAGCTCTATTAAGATTTTTTTTTTAAATATTGATGTTCTTTAGTGCATTTAGGATACTTTCATTTTACTTAGACTTATTTCTGTTACATATAGAATACAACTCCCAAAAGTTGTCCTCTGATAATGCCCTCTCTAAAGGCACACACACACACAAATAAGTAAATGTTATAGACATTTAAAATGTTTCAGGGTTTGACCAGCTCCTTGGAATTTGAATTAGAGAAAGTAGGGAAAATAAAACAAATTGAAAATAAGCCCCCCCCTCCACTTAAATACTAGCCCATTAGAAATAAACATATTTAGGGCTGGTGAGATGTCTCAGCAGGTAAAAGTACTTGTAGCAAGCCTGAGGACCTGAGTTTGATCTCCACATGGTAGAGGAGAAAACTGACTCCTACAAGTTGTTCTCATACAAGGACTCCTACAAAATAAGCCGGACCCTCTACAGGTGCAGCATGGCAACTCCCCATAATAAATATGCAGGAAATATTTTAATGTATATATCAAATATCTATGAGTATTTTGTGTTTAACCCAAATAGGTAAAGTAATTTTAGAAATAGTTCATTAGTTAATTAAACATGTATTTCTTCCCCATTTAAATTTACCTTTTCTATGTAACAAATAATATGTTAATAAATAAAGACAGTTAATATTTTTAAATGCTTTTAATTTGGCAAGATCCGGCATAGTTACTAGCATGTTTAAATGTGTGTGTGTGTGTGTGTGTGTTTTTTTTTTTTTTTGTGAGAATGTTATGCACTTTTTGAACACTGGGTTTGAGTCATAAAGTAAGAGTATTAGATTTCAGTTGCCACGCATGTTTTTATTTTACATTTAATGTAAGTACTTGCTTTGCTCTTCTAGGAGAATGTTTTGTTTCTCTATCCACATTTTTCAGAACACCTTTTTTCTGTCTCAATTGGCTTGTTTTTGTGGAAAATAGAAATGTATGTCAAAGCACGTTCGAGGTGGCACAGGTGTGGCCAGCTGTCCTCACTGACATGGGACACTGTCCTGTTCTCTTTTGTAGTCTTCCATATAAGGAGTTCTTCGGTGGGGTCAGTGGCCTGACAGTGGAGCAGTTTAAGAAGATCAATGGCTTCCCCAATGCCTTCTGGGGTTGGGGAGGAGAGGATGATGACCTTTGGAACAGGTTTGTGGAGGAACAAGTTGCCCAGCAACCAAGGTTCTAGATCCTACCTGTATTTTGTAAATCGCATTTGCCTCTTCTAAGAAGGGAGACTTTGGGCTGGGAAGTTTGGAGTTCCTAAATCTGTTTTTGTTTTCCTTTTTTTTTTTTTTTTTTTTTGTTCTGAAATGTATTCAGTCAATTTTATGTTGCCTTGCAGAGTTCACTACGCTGGGTATAATGTAACCCGGCCAGAGGGGGACTTGGGAAAATACACCTCTATTCCTCATCACCATCGAGGGGAAGTACAGTTTTTGGGGAGGTAAGTTCAGTGGTCATCTTGAGACTTCAAGGCTTCAAAGCTAATACACTGCATGTTAAAAAAAAGATAGATAGATAGATAGAAAGATAGATAGAAGGAAGTTACTTCCATGATGAAAGGCCTCTTTGGCAAATGTTTTTTGGATTGCAGCATGTGTGTGTGTGTGTGTGTGTGTGTGTGAGAGAGAGAGAGAGAGAGAGAGAGAGAGAGAGAGAGAGAGAGGTGATATTTGTGTACAAAGAAAGAAAGACAGATAAATGTAGACACTGTATGTCTATATTCACACCTAGTTTACTGCCTTTTGTTTTAGGTATAAATTACTAAGGTATTCCAAGGAACGTCAGTACATAGATGGATTGAACAATTTATTATACACGCCCAAAATACTGGTTGAAAGGTTGTATACAAACGTATCTGTAAACCTCATGCCTGACTTAGCTCCAATTGAAGACTATTAAAAGAAGTCTCTCACGGTGGTGTGGACCACAGTGCTGGATGGTGAACTTGGCTTGGAGTGCACTCTCCATGGAGGTTAGAGAGTGACATGTCTGTGTCCCAGTCTGTGAAAAGAGCCAGCAGTCCTTATGTTTACAGCGGGGGATTCCATACCATCACACACACACACCCTCCCTGCTTTGGGACATCCTCCATGGCAAGCGTGGTAGAGACCTGAACCCATGGCTTGGGATTGGAAATGAAGAGAGCTCCCTACAAAGAGAAGATTTTTATACTGAAATCTATAATTTAATTCAAGAGAATGCTTTTATTTCCGTTCAAAACATATTTTGTACATATGTGATGTAAATTAAATGTGTTCAAATTGTTGAAAAATAAGATGTCACAATTTTGCATGTAATTGGTTATGCCTTCATTGGACTTTTATAAACTTTTTTTTTTTATTTGCATGGGGGAAAAAAGAAACTATGTAAATCTATGTCTTGAAACAAAGGTTAAGCCTTGTATGGAATGAAGGGAGTGTCAGGAAGGACAGATGCTACAGTAACTGTTTTACTGGTGTTCAGCTTTAGACCTTCAGCCCCATGTGGGAGAAGGCACAGCCCTTGGAGGGCTCCCGGGAGGAAAGAGGAAACACCTAGCACAGCTTTCCTCCCTGCCAGAATGACCTCTTTTTGTTTTTGTTTTTATTTTTGTTTCATTTGGTTCTGTTTTTCCTTGCTTGCAATCTCATCAGACTTTGCCAAGTCAACAGCCATATTGTTTATGCATACTGCATGAGTATTACCGAGAAAACCTTCAGAGTTGTGAAGTGTCATGCTGTACAGGACCTCTTCACGTTAAATGTCTCTATGTACCTCCGATGTAAGTGTCAGGGATCTTGTGCCTCAAGAAAAAAAAATTTCCCAAGGTCGTGTTTATATACTGTATTCTTTTTTTTCAGTTTCCAATTAAGAAGAACCAAAAGAAAGTATCTTTTTTTTGAAAACATTTTTTTAAGAATAAACTTACAGAAAACCCGGTAGTGCTTATACAGATGGATTATACTATTAAGTGAGAAATTAGATGCTCTATTTTTATGAAGATAAATGTTTAGATTAAAATAAACTTCAACTTTAATTCTCAGATGGATACAATTCCCCTTTCACATCAGCCAGTCAGTCAAACTATTTTCTTTTCACTTTCAAGAAATCTCTGGTGTTATTAAAATTTTCTCACTAAAAATGTAATTTAATAAGTCCCCTCCCCTTTGTGTGGTGTTGGGGATTGAACCTAGGACCTGTAGGCTTAGGGTCAGTTAATAGGATGTGAGGATACTGAAACCTAACGCCAAGTCCATTCATCCTCAGGTTAGATGAGGTTTTCCATGTCAAAACAAAACCCAAACAGTATTCTTACTTTGAAAATTATCAATTATAAAGATCCTTGAAAAATATCTCATGTTCACATGTTAGATCTTATTTCCCATACTTACGCCAAGTTGGAAGAGAACACCGTCTATCTGTAAAGTGAACCTTCCCCAGGAACGAAGAGTGAGGGAATTCTGGGTGTGAGAAAGTTTGCTTCCCTTATCTATCTAGTGTTGAGAGCTCAGCTTGCAGTTGTCATCCTCCATCATAATCTTGGTAATGCTGATGGCCACAAATCAAATCATAGAGTAACTAAAATCCTTACCCTATCTGCTGTGAAACCAGTCTTTCTATGTTTATTTCTTAGAAGTGGTTCTTAAATAGCTACCTTCTAATTTTTTTGCTACTCCAAAGAATGAAAAATCAGAAGATATTTGTATGTTATCCACTTAATTTTTTTGTCTCTTGTGGCTAATGCAGTGTTTAATTTGATGGAACGACAGCGGAATGAAATATTACCATTGCTGATGGCTTGTGGGACAGGGATACAGGCAGGTGGTGAACCCAGAGCTGGTCCCTCCTCACAGTGGTGGGGAAATTGGCAACCATGCTGAACCTTATTCAGAAAACACATTTTATAACATGGGGCTGTCCACATTGGGGGGTACCTTTTCACACTGGCACATAATTCACTGTTGTGAAAAAGTCAGGACTCCAGGTAATCTGCCTTCCTCTCTTGGGTTAAATCTGGCATTGATATGACTACAGGAATAGGATGTATTTTTGCTGTATTTTGGTGTTGAATCTGGTATGTCAACTTGTAAGAACCACCTCACCACTTTCTTTTCCATTTTGCTTTTTAAATTGAGACCCAGAATTCTTTTCAGTTATGAACAGTGACATATATATGTCCCATGTATGACAGTTTTGCCCAGTTACCATGGTCACAATAAATAGCTTCCTTCCATATTAGTGGAAGCAGACAGTCTGATATAACTACCCAGTGGTTTTGCATCAAGTGTCTACTCCCCATTGGTTGCCGTTAACTGTTGCTGTTTGAAAGTGCTGTGATTTTCCCCCCTAAACAAGTCAAATGAAGAAAGTTAAAATTTCTCTGAAATAAGGAAGGCACTCTCTGATATCTGCCAGTCTTAGTCTCAAATCCAGTGTGGACTCAGAGATGCTGGGAGGCCCTCATGGCACTGGGGACATCATATGATGCCTTTGAATTAGAGAAAGAAATCATGACTGATGGAGAGGGAGAAAGTAGACATATTCGTTGTGACATTCTTTCTGGTTCTTAGTGAAGATGTTTAATTCTTTGCCAAAAGTAGGCTTTGCATAAGGTAACTTTTTTTTCCTTTTTATAAAAGTATCAACCGTTGTAGACCTTTGAGATGGCTCAGGGAGTAAAGGTGCCTGCACCAAACCTGGCAACCTGAGTCTGATACGTGGGACTCACACTGTAGGAGAAGAGAGCCTACTCTTGCAAGTTGTCCTCTGACTTCCATATGTATACACATGCGCATGTGTACATATATACAGGTGCACTCACACACAAATGCACACACAGTTACTCACATGTGCATACATGAGTACACACAAAGTAAATCAAAAGGTAATTAAAAATTAAATTTCTGTTTGTGTTTTATGAAATGGTTTTCACCAAGAAAATATTATTTATAAAATTTAAGTACAAAATTATCTATTAAAAAGTTGCATTCCTATCCCAGCCAAGGTACTGATAACCATCTTAAAACAAAATGGAAGAAAAGCCAATACAGATTCTGAAAGTCAAAGCAGACTTTATGTCATTGTATTTGGCCTTGTCCTGTACCTTTATATACCTGTCAGATGAATAGCACTGGAGATTTCTTGCCTTGGGTTTGCAAATTTGTCATTTGAGAAGCAAACTGTCACTGTGTTGTTTTTCAGGAGGTGAAAGTGTACTTAAGATTATTTATTATAATATGAAATACTTCTATGTAAGTGCATTGATGTAAATGCTAGTGATTCCTTGCAATCTTTTTTTTTTTTTTTTTCTTTTTTGTCCTGTTTTGCTTCTCATGGAACTGTTTGTACTTTTTTTATCATTGTCTTTTATGAAATATAATGATCTAAAGACTTTATGTGGTGATGTCATGTTTCCTCTCTCAGGGTGTCTTGGGGATTATCTTTTGTTTCTCCCCTAAATTTTGGGCGCACTATTGATAACTTAGTTGATGTTAAGGGTGCACTGTAAAGATGCAGAGGTCAAAGCTTACATACCCTCACTTAGTGCTCATCACCCCCCCCCACCACACTATTATTTAATACTCATCCATATACTTGGTAACTCATAATACCAAGAATTACCTAGTAGCCCAGGGCTGAGATGAATGAGTGGCTCAAGTGTTTTCCCCACATATGTGAGGGTCTGAGTTTGTCTCCAGAACATATGTAATGGCTGACTTGGAAACACATCTCAAATTCCATGGTGAGGTGGGAGATGGACACAAGAGAATTCCTGGATGCTTGTGGACCAGCTGGCCTGATGCTTACAACAGTTAACAATAAAAAAGACCGAACGAAACAAGGGGAAAGGCAAGGATCAATATTTGAGGCCGTCCTCTGACTTCTACCTGCAATGTCTTACGTATCCCAGGTTGGCCTTGAACTCACTGTGTTGCTCCTGCATCCACCTCCTAAGTGCTGGGATTTTACTGAGGAGGTGGCCCAGACAAGGGCACACATTGCCCTTCCAGAGGACCACAGTTCAGTTGGCGCATACCAGATAACAGGTATGTCTCAACCAGACAGCCTTAAAATATATTCTGATGTCCTTGAAGTACATTGTTAATGTAATCTTCAGTGTTTCAACTGTTGTTCTAGAGGCTCTTGAAGGGGTAGCAGACACTCTAACCTTCAAAAGATATTTGTCTTCTGAATGTGAAACTGGTATGGACTGGGCAGCACTGAAGAACACGTGCCATCAATGAGGCTGCTCTTGTATCAGATGCATGTTTCTGAGCATCACCTCTGATGTGACTCTTTCAGTGGTAGACACCTCCCAGCCGTAAACATGAACTCTGAAAGGGCAGTTGAAATGATTGTCCTTCTGCAGTAGACCTTCACACATGCACGCATGCACACACACACACACACACACACACACACACACACACACACAATTATGGTGAAAGGCCGAGATAAAATGTTCATGAGTTCTTTTTGTGGTGATCCCTCTCACACCTGGCCTCTATGATTTTCTTATTTTAATGTGCTTTGAATATTTTGTAGGATCACAGGGCCAGCTTACAAAATGGTTAATGACTTATTACATTCTAAACCCTTCCAATTTAATTCCTCTTTTGACTCTCACATCTGTGCAGAGTGAGAGTAGGTTTGGGAGTGAATGTAGATTCATTTTTCCATTCCAAGAGAGGGCCCCAGGCAGAGGAAAGGGAAGACTCCATGCTAGGCACTCGGCTTTTTCAAAAGGAACCAGGAAAAAGACTCCGTTGATGGAATTTTGAGGATTTATAGAAGTCCATATATCCCAGGACTTAACAACCTACAAAATCATTTCTAGAAGACAGTTTGTCACAAGATTTTTTTCCCTTAGGGAAAATGTGAACAACATCCACTCCCTCCTCTAAAGGTGCTAACCACAAACCAAAGGACATTCTGCCTCAGTTTACCCTGGGAGTCAATGAGCTTATTTGGACTATTTACAAAGCAGGCGGTGATGAGTTACTGACACAAGTATGAGTGACCCTTCAAAGCAGCCACACTGGAAAATCTTCACCCGGCAAGGATGGTGGCCTCATTGTAATCCCATAGATGGGACCCTTATACTTAGTTTTCCCCAACTTGTACACAAGCTATGGGCAATTAAGGCAGAATTGCATACAAATGGCTGGAAAGAATGGGGGATACTCAGGTTGAGGGTTTGGGGACCCACCCACCCTCCTAGGACAGAATATTAACAATCCTGCCATGATGCGCTCTGGAGAGTGTACTCACAGCCTACCTCAAGAAGATGGTGGCAGTTTGGCTCACGGGATAATATCTCAACATAGTTATAACTTTAGACTTGAAGTTCAAAGAAAGTCAGCAATTTAAAAGGTTTTACCCATCCATGAGTGTGTACACATGCTGTGTACAGTGTGAAGGGTTTTAATGCTTCTAAGAAAAAATATAGCATTGTCCATACAGAGAATTTTTATAAGGAAATAAAAGCTATACAAAGGACTATTAGGAAAAACTGGAGGAAACAATCAAGTAATTATTTGTTAATAATGAGTTTTTAGTAGGTACTTATCTAAAAGATTCTTTTAAAAGTCATTACTAGAAATGGATGTAATTTCACTCTATGCCCTGAAGCTAAAGCATTATAATTACAATCCCACTGAGAAACAAATTGAACAGGAATCATGGAACCAGGGAGGACATGTACAAACTGTTCAGTTCACTTTCTTTACTTTTTATTAGATAAGAAATAGAAGAATCTCCTTCCTTCCCCCCCCCCCCCCAGCTCTCTTCCATTCTTGGTTTGTCTTGTTATGTAGCCCAGGCTGGCCTGGAACTCACAACCTTCTTGTCTTCCCCATGCCTGCTCAATATGAACAGAATTGCTGTCTCGTCACTGGGCAGTCGTACCAGGCTTCCAGGGCCTCAATCCAGTCCCTCAGCCCCAGACTGAGAGTCAGAAAGCCCTGATTAGTCCTTACTCTCCTCACCTTCCCTGGCTTCCCCATTGCCCTGGGTTTTAATTTCTTACCAAAGTTCTCCAGACTCCTTTCCTCAGGAGGACATGCCCCAAGTCCTAATAGCCAATCTTTCTGTGAATTCTGTCGGTGTCCATCTCAAGTCCTTGGACCTTCACTATTTAACCTTCCTTCCGTTGCTGGGTTTTGCTGTTTACTTGCTCTGTAGCTCCTTGTAGCTTCTAAGGATGGACAATCTGCCTATCTTCATGAGGTCCTTAGTTCCCGGGAGATCAGAACATGGCTTTCTATTTAGCTACTCTAAGATTTAAAATATTTTTATCTCGATGATGACTGGTTTCCCAGCTGACTTGTCTTCTCGTTTCCCTGCCTTTCTCCCTCTTTCCCAGCCGCCCCCATTCCCCCTGTGTATGTGTATGCATGTGTGTGTCCTCACATGTGTACACGTGTCAGAGATCCATGATGAGTGTCTTCCTCTCTCACTAGCCCCCTTATTTTTTTGAGACAGGGTCTCTCCATGAAGCTAGAGCTCACTGATTTGACAACGCTAGCTAGCTAATGAGTTCCCGGCATTCTCCTGTCATACCTCCCTAACATGAAGATTATAGGCATACATTACTGCATGCAGCTTTTTATGTGGATTCTTGGCATCCGATCTCAGGTCCTTATGCTTGCATGACAAGGACTTTACTAGTCAAGCTGTCTCTCCACCCCCTCTCCTTCCTTTCCCTTTTTCTATAGCAATTACATCCGAGTTCTTCTGTTGAACTCCCTTCTCTGTCCTAACAACCTCAGTGGGACTCTGGCCCCAGTAGTGTCCAGACCCCATCTGTGGGTTCCCTTCTCATAGTTCCTTTCTCATAGTTAGGCTTGGGGCAGCAGAAGGAACCAGGGTTTTTGAAGACCCTGGCTCAAAGCCTTTCCATTGCCTGTCACTGTCCTCTTGAAAGAAGAAATTCCTACTCCTTTGTCCTGGCCCTAGTCAGGACATTTTCCATAACAGTTTCTACACATAGTTTAAGTTCTTGAAGTCACTCTAGGACTGTAGAAACTGACCCTGGTACATAAAACAGGTTACCCAGAAGAGGTAGAAGATTTCTCATGTTTCCATGGTGTCAAGTGTATGATGGAGAGAAACCCCAACTGGTGGATCACAGGAGGTGGAAGGCTCTGATTTGCCCATCTGGAACTAATCCATTCATTCATTCGTTTGTTGGTTTGTTCATTAATTCATTCCACATATTTGGAAGGGATGCTACTCCATGATGCTCAAACCTTTATTATGCTCTTTGTGGTAGGTGTTATTTTCCAGAGATAGGGGAACGCATCCAATGTGCTTTCCAACTGCACTTTCCCGAGGAAACCAGTGAACCGTGTTGCCCCTCAGCTCAGCTCAAGTTTTCACTCACACTGCTGTTCTGGGTTCACCTTGTAGTCTCAGCCTTGGCCTTCTCTGCCATCATACCTTGTACCCATGTTTATAGCCTCTAGATTCCTGCGAGTGAATACGTGGCAGCAACAGCAGTGGCTGAGTACTGAACCTGGGGCAGGCGCATACCTGGGATTTGTTTAAGGGAGCCTGCATGCAACCCATCTCCTTGCGCACAGAGGCTCTGGAATGGACCTTCAGGGTTTCCTTGGGTTTGCCAAAGATGAATTACCATCTGCTTTGGCTTAAAATTATCCAGGGCTGTTCCCACCAGAAAGAATGGAGGGCTGAGGAATTGGAATTGATTTTAAGATTATTTCCATTTTGAAAGGCAGGAAGGAAAACTAATGGAGTTTAGGGAGGCGTGTGTTCTCTGAACTGTGAAGTAAAGGAAGGAATTGCTCGTGAGATGAAGGTTTGAGGAGACATAAATCTGCCTCTGTACAAGCTCTTGGTGGATAAAATAAACCAGAGGCAGCAATGCCCTTGGTTTTCTTGTTTGGCAAGTGCTATCATATGCTGCAGGTAGGATTTGAATATTTATGACTTTTTATTTGAGAGATTCCTCCGCCCCTTGTTTCTGCATGTCCATACACTGTCAACTTTAGAGTTTAAAAACTGGTCTAATTACATTAAACTTTGTGGTTAATATTGAACTTGTTCTCTTTGATGACAAATCTGGTTGTGTTTTTTGCTTGTTTGTTTGGCTATTATTACTGTGTTCATCCCTTGGCATGTATGTTAAACATGGGTTTGGGATAGATTACGTTATTGTTGTTAGACAGGGTCTTACTATGTTGTCCTGGATGGCCTAGAACACACTTTGTTGACCAGACTGGTTTCGAACTTGCTGACATTCTCCTGCCTCTGCCTGTCTCCTGAGAGCTGGGTTCTGTTTCTTACCTGATTGCCAGGTATCACTGGTCTAAAGTGGGTTAGAGGGGCTGAATTAATTCTACGTTTGTCCCTTTGAGACTTACTATTCTTTAAA